GGTACTAGGCAATAGTTAATGAATAACTATTTATTTATTACTTCCCTATCATATACTACCCTATTTTTTTACATTCAGTATTTTTTCTTTATTTTTAATAAGAAAATGTTTTAACTCTATACATTTTCCTAAGTATAACTTTATTTTTCATTGTTATTTATTTTGAATACTTTTAACTTACACCTAATAATTGTACATATTTGTGGGGTATATAGTTATGTTTCAATACATACAATAATGTGTAGTGATCAGACTGGAGTAATTAGTATATCCATCATCTCAAACATTTACCATTTGTTTGTGCTGTACAGTCATGCTACAGTGGAACACAACACTAGAATTTATTCCTCCCATATAGCTGTAACTTTGCATCCTTTAATAAATCTCTCCCTATCTCTCCCTATCCTCCTACCCTTCCCAGCCTCTAGTATCCTCTATTCTATTTGTTACTTCTATGAGATCAACTTGGCTTTAGCTTCCACATATTAATGAGAACACGGGGTGTTTAATGTTCTGTTCCTGGCTTATTTCACTAAGTAAGAATGACATTATCAAAAAAAAAAAAAAAAGAATGACATTATCAGCCTGTTTAAACCCACTTCCCATCACTTCCCACAATAAAATCTAAATTCCTTTTCTTTCTCTCCCCCCCCCTCGTTTGAGAGAGTCTCACTCTGTTGCCCTGGGTAGAGTGTCATAGGTTACCATAACTCACAGAAACTCTTGGGCTCAATCAATCCTCTTACCTCAGCCTCCCAAGTAGCTGGAACTCCCAGATTTCACTTTTGTTCAGGCTGGTCTCGAACTCCTGAGCTCAATCAATTCCTGGGCCTCCCAGGGTGCTAGGATTGCAGGCATGAGCCACTGTGCTGGGCAAAACCTAAATTCCTTAATGTAATTTACAAGACCCTCATAAGACCTCACTATACCTTATCTTTCTAGTATTACTATTGCCATCTAGTGCCAACTTCCCTTTCTTGCCATCCTGGACTTCCCTATGTTCCTTGAAGACGCCAAATTCCTTTTCTTTTCAGAACTTTCATACCTGCTGTCACTTCTGCTTGGAACATTGACCATCCACCTCTTACTCAACATCACTCCTTTCACAAAGTTCATCAAACCCGTAATTGTTTTTTAATATGTCTCCCTTCCACTAGAACATAAAGTTCATAAAAACAGAGGACCTTATCTGTCTTCTTCACTGATATATCCCCAGCACTTAGCATAGTATCTTGTACAGTGTAAGCATTCCGGAAATATGTGTTGATCTGTTAACATTAATCTTGGAACAAAATGCACTACTGTACCACTAAAAAAGATGATGACTTTACATCTTTCGTTTAACCTGGATGGAGTTGAAACACATTCTTCTTAGTAAAGCATCACAAAAATGAAGAAGCAAGAATCCAATGTACTTGGCCCGGCACCTGTAGCTCAGTGAGTAGGGAGCCTAACACATACACGGAAGGTGGTGGTTCGAGCCCAGCCCAGGCCTGCTAAACACCAATGACAATTGCAACCAAAAAAAATCACCAGGCATTGTGGCAGGAGCCTGTAGTCCCAGTTACTCAGGAGGCTAAGGCAAGAGAATCACTTAAGCCCAAGAGTTTGAGGTTGCTGTGAGCTGTGACACCTTGGCACTCTACCAAGGGAGACATAGTAAGACTGTTTCAAAAAAAAAAAAGAATCCAATGTACTCAATTCTGATATGAGGACAATTGATGCTAGTACATAGTGGGGCTAGCGGATTGGGAGAGGAGAGAGAGAGAAGGAGGGAGAAGGTTGGTGGTCACAGTGTGTGACACACCTCTGGGGGGCAGGACATCATTATAAGAGGGACCTTACCTAACAAATGCAAGCAGTGTAACCTGGTTCTTTGCACGCTCAATGAATCCCCAACAACAAAAAAATGCACTATTATAATAAGAAAAGAAATAAGTTCATCTGGAAGCAGGGAGTATGTAGAGTGAGCTAGAAAAGAAGTCACTGGGCATAGGGGCTCACGTCTGTGCTCCTAATGCTTTGGGAGGCTGAGACAGGAGCATTGCTGGAGGCTAGGAGTTTGAGAGCAGCCTGAGCAACCATGGTAAGACCCCATCTCTACCAAAGATAGAAAATTTAGCCAGGCATGGGTGGCTCGTGCCTTGCCAGCTACTCAGGAGGCTGAGGCAGGAGAATCGCTTGTGCCCAGAGTTTGAAGTTTCAGGGAGCTATGATGCCACCATTACACTCCAGCCCAAGCAACAGGGCTAGAGTCTGGCGAACCACATAGGAGGCTATTGGAGTGATACAGGCAAAAGGAAATAAAAGCCTAGACTAAGACTGTGGGAGTAGAAAAAGAGAGGCATAGACAGCAGAAAGAAACTTCCTATGAAGAATAAAGTCATGTTTAATTAGCTGTAAATCACAGACAAGCTATGTTAAGAATTTCCTCAAAATAAGCCAAGGAGATCAGAACTTAGTGATGATGGTTAAAGAGAGAAAGAAATTAAGATAAGTCAGTTTGGAGAAAAGGAAGTACTAACTTCATCTGGGGGGCATGGTGAGTCTGCAGTACTAGTGAGACACGCAAATGTTCATAATGCATCTGGACAGACACATTGGGGAGCAGTCAGCACTGAGGAGTTAAGTGAAACCATGGGACTGAATGAGTTCTACAAAGGAGAGTATAGAAAGGAAGGAGTGTCTGGTGCTGTGGCTCACTCCCATAATCCTAGCAGTCTGGGAGACCAAGGCAGGAGTTCCAGACTAGCCTGAACAAGACCCTATCTCTACTAAAAATAGAAAAGCTAGCCAGGTATAGTGGCACATGCCTGTAGTCCCAGCTGAGGCAAAAGGATTGCTCAAAGCCCAAGAGTTTGACATTGCTGTGAGCTGTGATGTCATGGCACTCTCCCCAGGGTGGCAGACTGAGACTTTGTCTCAAAAAAAAAAAAAAAGGAAGGATTGAAATGCTAATAGAAACTATAATTACCTGACAGGAAGAGGAAAGAAAACAAGAGAAGGCACAGAGTGGTACAAGGAGAATGATGCAAATGATCTTGAGGGAATTGCACAAAACAGATGCTGAACGGTGTTAAATAAAGAAGCCAAGGAGGGTGAGGACTAGGAAAAGGCCCTTAGGTTTGGCAAGCGATCACCATCAGCCTTTGAGAGGCAGTATTCAATATGTTGTACTGGTAGAAAGTACAATACAGGTGGTGAAGCCAATCAATAGAAAAAGATTGTAGTGGGCCATGTGACCATTCAGGACTACATCTGTTGTGAAAGAAACTGTTGTAATATAAGCCTCCCAGAAACGATAACCTCAGTCAAAGTGCTAGGTAATGAAGAAAACAGAATCTGCAGTCACTGTGCTCCATATATCCAAATGTACTCTACACAAATACAAAAGCCAGTAACTCACTGAGCAGTGTGGAGGGGGGACCCAAATCTAACAGTACACAGGACACAGACTGCATCTACATACAGTAATATGGATAGCTCCCAGAAACAATAATAAGGGGAGGAAATAACCCACTAAAGAAAACAGACATTAAAAAGTACATCTGGCTCAGCACCTATGGCTCAAGTGGCTAAGGCACCAGCCACATACACACCTAAGGTGGCGGGTTTGAATCCAGCCCAGGCCTGCCAAACAACAATGATGGCTGCAACCAAAAAAAAATAGCCAGGCATTGTGGCGGGCACCTGTGGTCCCAGCTACTTGGGAGGCAGAGGCAAGAGACTCACTTGAGCCCAGGAGTTGGAGGTTGTTGTGAGTTGTGATGCCAGAGTACTCTACCCAGGGGGACAGCTTGAGGCTCTGTCTCAAAAAAAAAAAAAAAAAGTACATCCTATATATATGTCTGTAATGTATGTAAATCGACATATAATTCAAAAACAGGCCAGCCTGGTATGGTGGCTCACATCTGTCATCCTAGCACATTGGGAGGCCAAGGCAGGAGGCTCATTTGAACCCAGGAGTTTGAGGTTGCAGTGAACTACAATACCACTGCACTGTATCCTGGGTGATAGGGTAAGACTCTGGCTTAAAACAAAACAAAAGGGTGGCAACTGTGGCTCAGTGAGTAGGGCGCTGGCCCCATATACCAAGGGTGGCAGGTTCAAACTTGGCCCCGGCCAAACTGCAACAAAAAATAGCCAGGCGTTGTGGTGGGTGCCTGTAGTCCCAGCTACTTGGGAGGCTAAGACAGGAGAATTGCCTAAGCCCAGGAGTTGGAGGTTGCTATGACTCCACAGCACTCTACCAAGGGCAATAAAGTGAGACTCTGTCTCTAAAAACAAAACAAAACAAACAAAACAAAAATAGGCCAAATTAATCTATGCCGTTAAAAGTCAGGATAGTGTTACCTTTGTGGAAGATGAGGGAAAGAGGCCCAACAGTGCCTTTAGGGCCGCTGATGGTGTTTACTGATGTGAGTCCTAGTTTCAAAGGTGTGTTCACTTTGTGATGACTCATCAAGGCGTACACACAAACGGCGTGTGCCTTTCTATATGCGTGTTTCAATAAAAAGTTAAGAAAACAAACAAGAAAAAGCTGCTTAGGCCAGAATGGTGAGAAGCTCTCAGGTCTCCAGTTGTAAATAGAACTTCTGGTGGCTGAGAAATGAGAGTAAGCCTTCATGTCCCCTCTTCACTGAGGAATGGAGGCCAGCAGTACATAAGAGGTAATACATATTTTGTGTTTGATATAGGTAAAAGGAGCCACTGCCAAGATGCCTGTTTTCTCTGTTTACATTTGTCTCAAGGCCTTGATTCCTAACAAATTTCCATTGCTAATTTTCATACCTTTGCTGAACATGAGAGTTACTGCATTTGGCCATGTATAAAGCTCATGTTTTTGCTCAAACTTTCGAGGAAAAAGTGAGGATGCACATTATCCATGGCCAATACTATTCTGTATCTACATAAATGTTTTTAATTATTTTATTTATGTTTATGCATTAAAAGTGTAACTTTCTTGTCTTATAATGTTAAAAATAAATGCTAAAATTCCTTTAGAATACAAAAAACCCTAAATATAAACACATAAAAATTTGAATTAAAAAATTAAACAGGCTGGCTCAGGGCCTGTAGCTCAGCGGCTAGGGCACCAGCCACGTACACCAGAGCTGGCAGGTTCGAACCCATTCTAGGCCTGCCAAACAACAATGACAACTACAACAAAACAATAGCCAACTGTTTGTGGCAGGCACCTGTAGTCCCAGCTACTTGGGAGGCTGAGGCAAGAGAAAAGCTTAAGCCCAAGAGTTTGAGGTTGCTGTGAGCTGTGATGCCACAGTACTCTACCAAGGGTGACACAGTGAGATTCTGTCTCAAAAAAAAAAAAAATTAAACAGGCCAAGCACAATGGTGCAAACGTATAATCCCAGCACTCTGGGTGGTCAAGGGAGGTGGATTGCTAGCTCAGAAGTTTGAGACCAGCCTGAGCAAAAGGAGATCCCATCTCTACTAAACATAGATAATCTAACCTGGGATTATAGTGGTGCCTATAGTCCCAGCTACTGAGGAAGCTAAGGCAGGAAGATCCCTTGAGCCCAAGAGTTAGAGGTTGCTGTGAGCTATGATGCCATGGCACTCTACCCAGGGTGACAGAGTGAGACTCTGTCTCAATAAACAAGCAAGCAAACAAATTAATTAATTAATTAATTAAAAAATTAAACAAAATAATCTTTGCCTGAAAGTTTGGGCCAAAAACATGGGTATACATTATACACTGTACATGGCAAAAAAAAGTAAAATCTGAGAAAATACTGGAAGTTTTCCAATCTGACCTAACCAAGTAGTATAATTTGAGTTAAAACCAGAACTTGACGTAAGGCAGGCAGAAATGCTATTTTACTTATATTCAGAAGGTCTCCAAGCTCCTTGACTTTATTATTTCTCTAACTGAAGCATTTTATAAAACATTCCATTTTTTCACCTGTTTCAGGCATTAATCTAGACAAAAGTTCCCATCATCTTTGCATCCAAAACAACCCCAATGAGTAATTCTGACAAGTATACATCTTGTCCTTCACATATAATTGCTCATACAACCACACATTTAAAACTTAATTTAAAACTTATTCAAGTCAGTTAATTTTTATGCTTGGAGGCCATTCAAAGGTGATTGTAACATAACCCTTTCTGTGCTTTGGAACATATCCCTATTTAAAATCATCCACGAGGGACAGCATTTTAGCTAAGTACATAGGGTCCCTCCAGTTCTCCAGGCTTTGCAATCTTTTATCCCCAAAGCATATAAATGAACATGATTACTTTGTTCTCTAGTCATTCCACTAACTGTTAATTGATGCTTATTACATTATGGCTATCTCCAAGACTCTTTAGAGAGTCTGAAATATACTAAGTGATCCCCAGTTACCTGTGAAAAGAAAAAAAATCAACACCATAATCATCGTGTACCCAAAGTACAAAATGGTGCTCGCAATGCCTGTGATTTGAAGTTTGGTAAAGAAGTAATGGATGGAATATATAAAAAGATAAGCAGTTGTAAAGCTGCTAGTAAAAAAGGCTCTCCACCACCAATGATAATCCTGCAAAAAGAAGTAGAAAAAATAACTTTTCAGATGAAATTCCAACTATAAATGGGTCAGCAATTATTGTAATAACAAAGAACACAATATAAACGCCATATGATTGTGGATTTAAAAAAGTAAAAGGGAAGTTTTATCAGAAGTTGAATAAAATATATATGTCCTGCTTGGGGTATCCTAACAATTGTAAACTCCTTGTTTCCAGGGATAACACATGTGCCCTCTGGGACTGGACTTCTAATGTGTACACTCTATTGTTATGTTACCTCAGCCCCAGAAGGCATTCAGTTCAGCTTCGATATACTGGCCAGACTTGTGCTGTACCCACTGATGCCCCAGACTAGGTATTTTAAAAAAAAAGAGTAACATAGAAATATAGGATAGATTTGAGGTTAATAAGATTTGCTTTAACTGGCTAAATTTAGGATGCACAGATGCATGGCTGAGGTCAGTACTGCAGGTTGGTCTCACCCTGCACCATGGACTCCTACTGATTATAATTTTACTCTAAAGAGTCTGGGGCCACGGGCCAAGGGCATAGATAGCACAGAAAAGAATTAACATAGCAGGTTTGAGGCTCCTATCTTTAGAAGAGGCTGCTTGCAAAGCTGGCCCTTGGCGTGCATCTGGGAATTTGCCATTTAATCATTCCCTGGCTGATAAGGCTGGTTTGCTATATCTAGATCGTACAAACAACATGATTTATGAATACTTGCTTTCCATTGGGGAGTCTAGACTTTTTGCAGTTGCTAGGCAGAGGGTGCCTATGTGACTAGCTTCCAATAAAAACCTTGGATGCTGAGTCTCTAATGGGCTTCCCTGGGCAGAACCATTGTACATTTATTACTGCATTTTTCACTGTTAGAGAGAGGAGCACGTTCAGTGTGTTCCCCAATGGGAGGGAGACAACATAGGAAGCCTGTGCCTTGACTACTCCAGGCTCCACCTGTGTCTTTCCCCCTTGTTGATCCTGTATCCTTCCTCTGCAATAAACCCCAGCCATGTGTCTACTTATATGCTTAGTCCCGTGAGTTCTACTAAGTCACCAAACATGTGGGTGGCCTTGGGGATGCCTAAAACATTTTCTAAGAAATAAAAACATATTCGGAGTATAATGTACATCATTTAGGTGACAGGTACACTAAAAGCCCAGACATTGCTCCACACAATATATACAAGTAATAATAGCATTCAACTTGTACTCCCTGAAATTATTAAAATAAAAAATACAATAATTAAAGAGTTTTAAAATGTCCAGTACATGCTGTACTGCTAATGATTCAGGTTGCAGATTCATTAATGAGTAACTAAGAATAATATATAAATGATTACATTTTTGAGCCCTGTATCTATATAGCATAAGAAGAAAATGCTCCAAGACAGCATGTCTGTAAGAATCATTCCCTCAGCCCTCTATTGTCACCTTTAGAGAGTCATATTTAACTACCAAAATAAGATGATCTGGGGATTTAAGAGAGCAATGTACACTACCCCCTCAGTTATCCAGAATGACATGGTAAGCAAAAGGCAATGAAATGAAAGGAAGCAGCATCTCAAACTCACAAAACACAATCCAAGCCTAAACTGCAAAGAAAACTTTGTTGAAAAGAAAACATTAATCAACCAGATCTTATATACATCTAGATATCAAATCAGTCCCCTATATTTTTCATGTTAACTGGATATTATGGAGCAATTATAGTAACCAGCCCCAAAGAAATTGCTTTCTGTTTAAATTTCACTTGCTAACTGCATCAATGTCAAAATGTGTCATTAGGAAAACACAATGTACAGCGGATCCCAAGTAGTAGAAATGATGCAGTTAACATTTCTTTCAATTCCTTTCTAAAAACAGACTTCTCGTTCCAATAATACAAGTTTAGAAAGCTTAAGATACATTTGCTTTATATGTCTTTACCTCAGCGCATAGATGAAAATAGCACAGCAAAATTGTAGCTTCTGAACAAGTAATCAGGAGAATGATAAAGACTAAGAAAAGAAAGCCAAACATGTAAAAAAATTGATGAGACCTGGAAATGAAAAGAAGAGGTTTCAAATACACTTGAACTTCACAGTATACGCTGAAAGATCAATGAAATGTATACAATAGACTGTCACACACATCTCCAAAATTTTTTTTCCTAAACTTTTAACTCTTTATTCCAAACATTCATTGATCCATCTTGTATCAACTTAACATTCCCTTAGCTATGCAGTTTCAGGGCATGGCCATACCTTCTGCAGTCAAAACCAGGCCGGCTACTTGCCCGTGGGGCTCACTTGAAAACTATCAACAGCCTTAATTTTCTCTATACAAATATTAAAACATGACTTCTCTTGACAAATGGAAGGTTATAAATGGTATAAGAACCAGCAACTATATCATAAAGCAGAAAACCACAGAATCAAACACTACTTTGCCTCAAAAGATCTGTTGGCATGCAGCCTCTCCAAGTATGTCTGTAAAGGCCAGGCAAGGTAGTTCACGCCTGTAATCCTAGCCCTCTGGGAGGCCAAAGCAGGCAGATCTCTTGCGCTCAGGAGTTCAAGACCAGACTGAACAAGAGCAAGACTCCATCTCTAAAAATAGCCAGGCATTATGGCCGGCATCTGTAGTCCCAGCTACTCTGGAGACTAAGGCAAGAGGATCGGTTGAACCCAGGAGTTTGAGGTTGCTGTAAGCTATGATGCCACAGCACTCTACCAATGGTGACAAAACAAGACTCTGTCTCAAAATAAATAAATAAATAAAATTAAAAATCTGTGTGTAGATTACATTTGGTCAAACTTTGAAGGAATGAAGTAATTCCCTTAATTATTATAAGGATGATCAATGTCCATTTTTTAAAAAGCCTCTGGAGATTAAAAAAAACGGATGAACAAATCAATACCCCATTTTAAAATCTCATGTAAAATATATACTTAGGTGTGATAATGAGGGATAGGTGTTGGAGAAAATCACCTCTATAGATAATAAATATATACAAAGCTGTATACTATAAGCACATTGCTTTTCAGCAAAATGAAAATTAATTCATCTAAGAAACCTTTTAGTTTTTGCTTTAAAATTACTTTCCCATCAAAAACATCTGGAAAAATGATTACTATAATCTATTTTGCAGCATGTTAAATATTTAGTTGCTGACAAGGTAACAGATTTTATGGCTTTTTTCCAAACAAATTTGTCACAATGTTGTTTAAACAGTGAGTAATTAATGTACATGATTAAGCCTAATTTTTGAGAACTTGAAAGTTTTGTCTGAAAGATGGCTTTCAGACAAGTGTTATAAAAAGACATAATTGGCTATTACATTTTCTTTCTTTTATTTATTTTTGCCCATCTCCAAAAGTCCCTCCATAGTAACACTCCAATTGGCCAGTTCCTGAAACCAGAATGCAGTCAAGAATTAGGAAAAGATCAGTGCATTGGTTTATCCTTATAACCCCAGAACATTTAGAGGCTGAGGCAGAGGGATCATTTGATGCCAGGACTTCAGACCAGCTTGCATAACATAGACCCCCATCTCTACAAAACATTTATTAAGGCTCAACACCCATGCTCAGTGGTTAGGGTGCCAGGCACATACACCGAGGCAGAAGGGTTCAAACCTGGCCCCAGTCTGCTACACAACAATGACAACTACAACAAAAAATAGCCAGGCGTTGTGGCAGGTGCCTGTAGTCCCAGCTACTTGGGAGGCTGAGGCAAGAGAATTGCTTAAGCCCAAGAGTTTGAGGTTGCTGTGAGCTGTGACGCCATGGCTCTCTACCGACAGCAACATAGTGAGACTCTGTCTCAAAAAAATATATATTTTTTTAAATGAGCCAGACATTTTGGCATATGACTGTAGTCCCAGCAACTTGGGTAACTGAGGTGAAAAAAATGGATTGAGCCCAAAAGTTTGAGGTTGCAGTTAGCTATGATGGTGCCATTGCACTCTAGCTTGAGCAAGATTGTCTTATAAATAAATAAGTAAACAAACAAACAAATAAGGGCCAGGCTCAGATGCTCACACCTGTAATCCTAGCACTCTGGGTGACCGAGGTGGGTGGACTGTCTGAGCTCAGGAGTTCGAGACCAGCCTGAGAAGAGACCCCTTCTCTAAAAATTGCTGGGCATGTGTCAGGCACCTGTAGTCCCAGTTACTTAAGAGGATCACTCAAGCCCAAGAGTTTGGGGTTTCTGTAAGCTTTACTTAAGAGGATCACTCAAGCCCAAGAGTTTGGGGTTTCTGTGAGCTTTAATGCCAGGGAACTCTACTGAAGGCAACAAAATGAGACTTTGTCCCCCCCCCCCCAGATAAAAGAGCAAGACCTTGTCCCTACTAAAAATAGGAAAAATAGAAAAATTAGCCAGGTACTAGGTCAGGCACCTAGTCTTGCCAGCTACTCAGGCGGCTGAGACAAGAGGATCACTGGAGCCCAAGAGTTTGTTTGAGGTTGCCGTGAGCTATGATACCATGGTACTCTACCCAGGGCAACAGAATGAGACTTTATCCCATCCTCTCTAAAGAAAATTTCAGAACTTCTCTGAAAAATAAATAAATAAATAGGAAGAAAAAATGGACACAGAAGCTAGGGGGCACTAAAGCTGCTGCATTTTTTTTGAGACAGAGTCTCACTTTTGTCACCCTTAGCAGAGTGCTCTAGTACCATAGCTCATAGCAACTCCAAACTCTTGGGCTCAAGTGATTCTCTTGCCTCAGCCTCCCAGGTAGCTGGGACTACAGGCACTGCCACAACACCCAGCTATTTTTAGAGATGGAGGTCTTGCTCTTGCTCAGGCTGGTCTTGAACTCCTGAGCTCAGGCAATCCACGTGCCTTGGCTTCCCAGAGTGCTGGAATTACAGGCGTGAGCCACCGAGCCCTGCTGACTTACATGCACTTCTAACTATCTTGTTATTAGAATTCTTAAACCACAACAGATTAGAAACAGTAAATAAAAAGAAGGTCTAAGGAGTAGGCTTCCTGACACTGGAACTAACAGTTAACAGAAGGGAATAAAACAGAAACACACAAAGATCCAAAGTTAGGGGTCTTCAAATTGTTTTTAGCAGAGGAACTCTAAATAAAACCTCTCATGGAAAGCCAGTATAGAAAACAGACAAAAATCAGAGCTGCTTATTTCCCATCTTTACATACCTCCCTCCAAGGAACCTCTACCCTCCTACCCACTGCCAAAAAGGCTCAGTTTGAAACCAATTTCTCTAAGTCATCCAGAAAGGCTTAAGAAGAGATTTTTAATTTTTAAAAATAAAATCTTTATAGAGATTTCCACCAAAAGGTTGTGATTTAAAGGTTGTGAATTAAGTGTCAGTTCCCTGGAAATCCCCCAGGTTAGATTGTATTTCCTGGATAAAGTGGAGTAAATGAAGTATCATCATACCAGAATTTAACCTCCTTAAAATATAGTAAAGTTAATTTACTAAAAGTGAAAATGTTTGAGATCATTAAGATACAATACTTACCAAATACTGTTTAGAATGAAAAACAGTTGAATAAAAATGCAGCCGAATGGTAAAATGCCTCCGATTATGATCCCAACAATTGGATTAGTAAAGAAGCTCTGTGGAGGAATGTGCCGGGGGATCTGGTGTGTGTGAACTGGACAATTAAACTGTTTGAAAATAAACGAAGTGAGAATCAGAATAAAATGAAATTGAAGAAAATCTATACAGACATAATTATAACACAGAATCTTGAATCTGAATGGGCATGGAATATTTATGAGAGCAGTCATATGGGCAGGGGTTAAACCAGCACAGTGCAAAAGAAATATAGTATCAGCTACATATGTAGTTTTACATTTTTTTAGTAGACACACTTAAAAGTAAAAGAAACAGGTAAAATTAATTTTAATATATTTATTTGACCTAACATGTCCAAACCTTATACTTCAAACTCATGATCAATATAAATATTATCTAGCAGACATTTTACATTATTTTTGTTGCTGTTCTTCATGTTCAAAATTTGGTTTGTATTTCCCTCTTGCAACCCATCTCAATTCAGACCAGCCATAGTTGAGGTACTCAACAGCCCCATGTGGCCCCAGTGGCCACCATACCAAATGACACACAGCTGGACAACCAGTAACAATGTTTATTCTTTTTCACAAATTCCAAGGGAGAGATTGGACAAGATTTACTAGCAACTATTCCAATATGAAATAATCTAAAATGTCAAAATGTTCTCTCTTAGAGAATTCAGAAAATGTCCTTTTTTCTCCTTTCTGTGAAATTTCACCTTCCATGCTGTCATTTCCTAACTTCTGTTCTAAATCTCTTGCTATATCCTTATACAATCCTTTTCGGTGTGGCCTCATTTAGAGTTTTTGGTATCCTGCACCTTTCCCCTACACATGGAACAGGCTAACTTAAAATCTTTCAACTGGGTAGCCCTATTTCTTGGACTATATCTTGGCTTTTTTTCCCCCACTGTATAATCCTATTATTTTTCTGAGTCAGCTAACATCAGCCTATCTACGATATGTTCTTAACTTTCGTCCATCAGAGATAAACAATCTATAATGTAGGAAATACATTATAGAGAGGTTTTGGAAGTACCAATGTCTTTTACTTAATATTTTCAATATATTTTATTCCAAAATGATTATCCTCTATTGTTTTCTCCGGTGTCACTTTTTGTATTCCATGGATAGTATAAACACATGAGATTATTTCAGGCCTCATACAACGGTCAACAGCAGCATTTTAAAAGTTTACCTTTCTCTTGCTTCCAAAGTATGAACCCAAAAACGTTAGTGGTACTGAAATTCCAAACCACATGCCAAGGATACCTATGAGGGAGCCAAAGGAGATGGCAGCTGATGATCCTTCCACCCAAAGAATTAGATTCATGAGGAAGAGGTCAGCGAAGACAATTCTGAGGGAGGAAAAAAAGGCATTAGAAGACAATATGCTTTCTGGAAAATTAGAAAACATTATAAACAACTTGATATGAATGTCAGAACATTATTTTGGCAAGAAAGATATAATACACTACAGGGTCAGACCCTAGAAGAATATTAAATTATAATGTGTAAACCCAAGCCACTGAGCTAGTGCTTAAGCTACATACCATATAATAAGATAGCAGTTTATTATAGAATATAATTTCCACATCCTACTCATCTTTGCACCTTCAGAGTCTAGCAGAAAATAAGTTGTGAAGTAATATACATGAAAAAACTCAATATGCAGGATAGTGAACACATCAAAAAAGATGAAAAACAGATTTTCAAACCATAGGTCGAAATGGGCTATCAGATGGCTCAAGTCAGACAGGTATTCACTTAAAACAAAGATTTTTAATTTGGTTGCTCCTGGCCCAGCACGGTGGCTCATGCTTATAATTCTAGCACTCTGGGAGGCTGAGGCAGATGGATCACTTGAATGCAGGAGTTTGAGGCCAGCCTGAGAAAGAGTTAGACCCTGTCTCTACTAAAAATAGGAAAAAAAATAGCCAGTCTTTGTGGCGGGCGCCGGTAGTCCCAGTTACTTGGGAGGCTGAGGCAAGAGGATCACTCAAGCCAAGAGTTTGAGGTTGCTGTGAGCTATGATCCCATGGCATTCTACCTAGAGTGACAGAGTGAGACTCTCTCTCAAAAAAAATGAAAACAATAATTAGGTCACTCCAAATCAACTAGTTAATGGCTACGTCTACCAGACACATCACCAGGCAAACCCAGCTATTGTGTCCCTACTTGTTCAGAACAGTTTGACCAAAGCTACAGGTGGGTATGGGTGTAAGTATTTTGGAATGCCTAAAAGGTGAGATTGAAAAGCAGACAGAGGGTAGATTGTGGAAGTCTTTGAATGTTAAGATGAGGAATGTAAACTTTCTTCTGTCCGCATCAGGAAATATACAGCTGAATAGTTTTTGCAATCAAAAAGTGACACACAGTGCCATTTTTCATGAAGACAAATATGTAACACTGCAGGGAACAGACCTAAAGGAGGAGATAATGTAAGAAAGTAGCCCAGCTGTAAAGTGGTAAGAATCTGTATAACGTGGTGATAGTTAAAACGTGAAGAGATGGACATAAAAGACATGAAGAATTCAAAGACTTTTGGTGAAAGATGACAGATTTAACTCACACATTCAGCTCTGCTCCCTCATCAAAACCCTGATAAAATTATAATAAAGGCATTTTAAAATGGCATAAATACACACCGTTGGGGATAGAGGACAGAAGGCATTAGCAACAAATTTTGCAAACTAGATAGAAGCTGGACAAACAGTAGCCAAGTTAGTAAAAACTGAGAAACCTGCATCCTGAGTCATCAGCAGGAAAAGCTAAGAGGCCAGTTTGTACCACAGAACTCCAAGAAGGCTCTGGAATTTCTAGTGCCAGGTACCTTTGTAAGTAGGCATTAAAGAATAGCTAAAACCAGAAGGATTGTTTTTAAATCACCCTAAGACGTGCAGATTTCCTCCCTTACTCTGCAAAACCAAATAATTTCCCTTCCCCAACCCCAGCAGAAGACTGGAGGTCTGTTCTCTTGGAGAAGATCCCTGAAGCTCAGAAGAAAATTTTTAAAAAAGAAAATCTATCATTGACATCCTCAGAGAAATTAGAGGAGATATTACAAGCATAAAACAAGAAGAACTTTTAAGGACTATTGAGAAAATAAAAGGACTCGTGGGAATTCAAAATGTGGCAAGAGGAATTAAAGCCTCAATAAAAGGGTTGGAGGATAGAGCTGATATAATGTCTTAGATAGCAGCATTTTAAAAAAGGAATGAAAAACAGGCAAAAAATACATACAGGAAAAGTAGATGAGCAACATAGATATCTGAAAAATAGGAGTTATGGAAAGAGACAGAGTTCTTTATTAATGCCTTTTAGGGATATCAAGCACTTTGCTCAAGGTCAAACAACTGCTAAGAGGCAGAGCTGGGATTCCAATTCAGGTATGTCTGATTTTTCAACAGCTAGCTTTCCAGCCAGGCATGGTGGCTCATGCCTGTAATCCTAGTACTCTGGGAGGCCGAGGCAGGTGGATTACTTGGGCTTACAAGTTCAAGACCAGCCTGAGCAAAAGTGAGACCGTCCCCCATCTCTACTAAAAATAGAAAATCTGAGGCAAGAGGATCACTTGAACCCAAGAGTTGGAGGTTATTGTGAGCTATGGTGCCACGGCACTCTACCCAGGGTGACAGCTTGAGACTCTATCTCAACCAAAAAAAAAAAAAAAAAAAAAGCAAGTTTTCCCATTCCAATATGCTATAAAAAGCCTCCATGGCGAGAAAATTATTCCTAAACCCACCCCACCTAACAGATCTCTTCTTTTCTCCTGGACATTATGTCAGAGACTAGAGAAAGAGAATGTGTTAACAGCCCTTCCACCATCTACCAGGTTAGGCTTTGAGGTACACTGTTCAGGGAAACTCCGCTTATCTCTTTAGTTCTAAGTTCTCTCAAGGCCCACTCCAAGTCTAGGATTCTAATGCTGCCTTCATATTTGCCATCTCTGCTTAATTTCCTGTTTAGGATCATTCTTTCGGATGTGTTCTCATCTCTCATAAGTGACTTGGTCTTTTCTCAGTTACCTTCCATCACTGGTTCTTTCATGTTGCTATTCCTACTTCACCTTTTCCCTTTGTGTTTATGATTTCTTCTATTAACATCTTTTCCAATAGGTACATCTTTTCTGCCTTTGAAGAATCATACTTTGCTCTTGCTAAAGATACAGCCTCAAGTACTTTCAAACAACAACAAATACAACAAAACCTCCACCTTATGTCTCAGTTTCTGGCATCTTAATAAGGGCACCTGGTTTTCCATGATTTAACCACACTTCTCAAAATGTTTTTAATACTTTTCTGCTCTAATGAATTTGTTTAGCCACAATATTCCTCTGCCAAATTTCCTAGCTTTTGAGAGAGTCATTTCAGCTGTTATCATTCCTTGGCCAGAAAAATTACTTCTCACTTGACAAATCATAACCTCCCTTCTTATACATAAACTCAATTAACCCGTCTCAACAATTTCCCTTTTCAAAGTACACTCTAGAATGTTAATATGTGTTTAACAAATCTGTAACTGTCCTTCAACTTTATGTTTTTACATTCAAAATATTTCCTCCTACGTTAATCTCTAATTATTTCTAGACCTTTTCATGGAATCTTAAACAGCAAAGCTGGAAGAAAACTCAAGAGGTCAACTGAGTCCATCTCCTACCTGAAACATTTATTCACACATTCATCAAACTTTTATTGAGTACCCATGTGTCAGGCCCTGGTGTTCAAAGATAAATAAAACAAAAATCTTTGCCCTGAAAAAGCTCAATCTCATGGGATACAGACCTAAACAAATAAATTACACTACAACATAGGAAATGCTGTAGCTGAATGATGAAAGCAGAGCAGTAAGAACCCAGAAGAAAAGAGTAACCAAAAAATGATTTATAGCTCACCAAATAATTTCACAATCCATTAGTTCATTTACTTCTCTAAATGATTGTGTGACATAGGTGTTACAGACAAGGAATGGACAATCAGAAAAGTAATAGGACTTAGCCAAAGTGACTCATCTAATACTAAGAGCTAAAATTCAAACTTTCTTTCGATTTTTAAGTGTGGGTACATGCCCATCAAATTATGCTGCTTCTTCCCTTCCTTCCCTACCTACCACTTTTGGGGTTATGTAGAGGAAAAGTATATTGTTTAATAACTTTATTGTCTTTAAAATACTTTAGGGAACATATATGTTTTTATTCTAATTGCTGTTCAATCTAAATCCAAGTCCATTTATATTCTGTGAAACCCTGAAACTCTCTTTCAACCTACCACATTTTGAGAAACAAGAATCTCAGTGCCTTATGATTCTCTGTCCCATCTAAGGTAAAGACTATGTAGGTACTTTTGTATCATGCTAGCATATTGCTTTAAAATTGCATTAAATTTCACTAACAGAACCAAGAAACAGAACCTATTTTGCATTTTTAAATTATTCACATGATTTAATCACATAGTAAACACTAAGCACTTACTTCATGTATAATGCATAGAGTTGCACACTGTGAAAGATGCAGAGATGAATAAGACATAGTACTCACCCTCATGAGTTTTAAAATACAGAATGAGAAATAAGACATATCACAAATAGCTAAAATCTAAGGATGACTGTGGTAAGTGTTATAATAATGGTAATAGACACTATACAGATCCAGAGCATGGAAGTGGTGGTATTTGTACTAGGACTTAAAGAATATGGAAATTGGAAATAAGTGATTACAAACAGAACAGTAAGAACAAAGACATGATGGTAGAAGAAAACAGTAGCATCTACCATTTATTGAACATTTATTCTGTGTGAGGCACTGTTACAAAACATAATGTATGTTCCAAATACATACATTATCTCACTCAATCCTTATAGCAACCATGCGAGGTAAATAATGCCATTATTCCTATACTGTACATGAGGAAACCTAAGCTTATAAAAGTTAAAGAACTTTCCCCAGGTCCCATGATTAGTAAGCATTATTTGATTGGAACTTCTTTTTTGCTTATCTAATTTAAAGGACAATTGCACAATGCAATAATTATAAGTCTGTATTGATGAGCATACTGAGTATAAAGATGTAATTTGTATGACACAATACCAGAAAAGAGGGGGAGGAAAAGGTGCTATATAAAAGCAAAGTTCAATTGACCAGATGCAGTAGCATACTCCTGTAGTTCCAACTACTTGGGATGCTGAGGCAAGGGAATCACTTGAACCCAGAAGTTTGAAACTGCAATAAGCTATGCCAGCTCGACTGCTCTGAGCAACAGAGCAAGACTTTGTCTCTTAAAAAAAAATTATAGGGCAGCACCTGTGGCTCAAAGGAGTAGGGTGCCAGCCCCATATACCAGAGGTGGTGGGTTCAAACACA